CCATCCGTAGAAAGAATTCTCCTCCCGTAAATTATCTAAACGTCATGAATGTGCCTTTCGTCAATCGTCAAGCGACGCGAAAGGTTATGACCTGCTTTGTTTTATTTTCAAATTACATTTTTTCGGCGCAGAAGCTAAGTTAAAGCTTGGTTCAAAATATTTTAAATAAACAGTATAATATCTGTTTTTATTAAAATCAGTTTTGAAAAAAATGATAATTGACTTTTAAAAGAATATCAAAGTAAGATTTTAATCTTTTTTATCAAATCGAAAAAATGATTGAACATGATTATCTGCCATTTTTTGACCAAAAAAAAAACAATATTTTTAACGAAAATTTCAGACGTGCTAGGAACGATTAAAAATGTAAAAAATACCCCAAAATACTTTGATCTTTCCTCTTTAATAATAATATGAACATTAGACGATAAAATTTTGTTTTCGTCAATTTCGGCGTCTTTTTCATCTCTTTTGTTTACATTTTCGTGGGTGAGTTCTCCCCCTTTCATTCTCACGATGTGTCTTAATCGTGTTTTCAAATTGATTTTATTAAAAAACAACTGTATTTTTTCCCATTTTCGGCCCCGTTAGAACCACCACAAGGTAATGTTATGTAGTCCTGTGAAGTTTTGTTGAAATCGGCTAAAAATGTAAAATTGATCCAACATATAAACGTTACACACACACACACACACACACACACACACACACACACACACACACACACACACACACACACACACACACACAATCTGCGTTTTATAATAAGTAAGATATATATACATATTATCATTCACCGGTAGCTCGATTTGGAGTTTCATGCACAACGCAATCTTCAGGTGCTGTATTGCGACTAACTGTTAAGTTATTTAAATTTTATTAAACATATGATGCGTTGTGTATGAAACTTCGAGTCGTGCTACCGGTGAAAAAAATGTATATATAATAAAAAAATAATTTAATTAATATAAAAAATGTATATATGTTATAATTTATAGCTCTGTTATATTGCATCGAGCACTATTTTATCAACGTCAGCACTCAATATGCAATATCATATATATATATATATATATATATATATATATATTATAGCAAAAATGGAAAGAACAGTAAGTTATATAATCCGGTGTTCTTATTGATATTTTTATTTTTACAAAACAGGCTTCAATGTAAATTTACAGAGCATAAATATTATAAATTAACTGATTTAAAAATATGGTTCCTTCGCTACACAGCTCAAGCTTGAAGATAAAACAGAACTAATACTTTTAATTTAATTATATAATTAAATTTGAAGATTTTATCTTCGGTTTTTGAAACCTATTAATTCTTGTGTAGCGAAGGAACCATATTTTTAAATCAGTTAATTTATAATATATATATATATATATATATATATATATATATATATATATATATGACTTATTGTGCGTAAGTTGTTTAAATGGGTGTTCGTTTGGAGAGCCTTCGACTAATTTAATTATGAATACGACCAAAAATGCACTGGCCGTATTCAGGGATAAAAATACGTCTACATTTATCAACTTCTAAATACTTTACAAAAGCACTTAGACGCCATTTATAACAACACAACCAAATTCCTTAAAAATCGCTAATAGGTTAAACGAAAGCTGTCGGAACGAACAATCATTTGGATACATTCTTCACTTACTAGATCCCAAAACGTATGTTCTTGTTTGGATATAATATAAATATATATCAATATATGCAAAAAATCAGCGGAAACATTATTAATAAAAGAAATGGCAAGAGGGAAGCATTTTTTGCCAAAGCGTTTCATTTCTTGAGGAAGTCTGTTAAAGAAATGTAGAAATTTTATTTAGTGACTTGCATTTATGCACCAAAGTAAGGTGAAGAAAAATATTAAGCATTCCATTTTTTTTATTTTATTTAAAGAACTCTTTAAATATTCCAAAATATTACTGCCGGAAGTAAAGTTAAATTATGGAGGACGCTATGTGACGTAAGTTTTTGGCATGTTAAACAAAAGTGAATTAATCTTATTGTTTCTTTTGTTCTTGATTTTTTATGAACTTACTATTTATTTATTTTATAACAACAACTACAATATTCTAAAAGATTTTAGGATATCTATGCATGTTCTTGGTGTTTATATTCGGGAAAATCTCTCAGTTTCAAGGCAGATGATTCTATCATGTGCTTTCGACTTTTGTTATTGCACAAACTTAGCTATCTCTTTTTCGCTCTTTACATTCATCTGCGAACATTTATGCATTTGATGATTTTAATGCTCATCAGGTCAAATGGTTTAAGCATTCTAATGTTACTGACATTGCCGGTATTCAGACTTTCAATTTTTCCGTTGCTCAATATCTCAATAAAATAATGGATTTCTCCACTCGTTTAATTATAAACGGTTTCCTTAAAAATTTCGTCTAAAATAAAATGTTAAGTTACAATCATTAAATAAGCAAAGAACAAAACTAACGCAAATGTTTGAATGATAAATGATAGG